TTTAGCCCAGAATATTCTCGAACACAAGCTGAAAGCTATATAAACTCTGATGGTTCACAGTCAGTGTGTGTGTGTGCCTCGTCTAGAGTTCGAGTTTGAAATGTACAGGCGCAGTAAGATAGCTTCCCCGCAAAGCAGTTTTAGGGTTGCCATAGAATGGCACGGGAAGGCAGGGTTACCACATTTGGCGAGAAATTACCCATTTGGCAATAAAATTGGCGATATCCCATGAACGGATGGAGAACCTTCTGGAACGAATTCTTACCAGTTTAGCCCAGAATGTTCTCAACCACAAGCCAAAAGCTATATAAACCCTGCTGGTCCGCAGTCAGTCAGTAGTATCGAGAGTGTGCCTCGTCGAGAGGGCGAGTCAGGGTGCCTCGTCTGGAGTGTGAGATAGTTAGCATCGAGTTGGTGTCTCGTCTAGCGAGTCAATCGAGTTGACAACCGGGCAGCGAGTGCCGAGTGCACTGAAGGAGTCTGTTAGTGTATCGCGGTTAGTGCATCATCAAGAGAGCATGTTGAGCTCTGGGAACGACTAAACCGAAGAGTCGGGAGCTGTGCTCGTGTGTCGTCGAGTGCATTACGAGTTGTAGCATGGAGAGTCTCGAGAGTACGTGGAGTTCCGAGAACGACCAAGCAGAGTCGGGTGCTTTGTAGGAAGCTGTCTCCACTGTGATAGCCTCATAACCTGCAGACTGTGTCGTTGATCGTATCAGTGTGTTTATAGTAGTTCATCGATGACTGTAAAACGTGTTTTGGAGCTGTCCTGACAATACTGGCTAATAAAGTATGTTTTGATACTTCATGAAGTAGTGTCGTCATTATTCACTCCAAGTCCACACGAACCCCGTACGAACATGAAGGAAGAAAATAACGTAACAGCTAGTATCAGAAGAAAAAAACGCAACAATATATACAGATTTTTTATTATTTAATAATAGAGATGAACAAGGAATGAATTAAGATATAAATCAATATTTTGTAATCAAGTTTGCATTGCAGATTAAATCATTACTTCAATATGACCGGAAATCTCTATATGTGTGTGTGTGTGTGTGTGTAAAATATAAAATATGAAACAAAATTATTAAACTTACTTGGAATCAACTGCAAACCAAACTCATAAATTTTAATTAAATACATCTCTGCTTCAAAGATTCATTTTGCACCATTTGACATCACTCTGCCACATTTTATGCAACTCTTTCCCCGCATTGTGACACTTCAGCCCAGTTGTTGTTCAGGATTACAACAATGGTTTTCCGTCTATAAACAGAACCGAAGTGAGTACACATCGCCTTTTTCTCATTTGCTGTTTGCCCGAGTAATCCTGTCTCTTGCTTTGCCTTCTTTCTTTATTATCTGAAATGTAAACTACATATATGAAAATTGCAGGACTCATTTAACGTCCCTAGTGTTGTACCAGTTTTAAGCAAAAATATATTTCTGAGGAATCATTCCTGTAAAAAATAAAAATTATCTATTAATCATCAAGCTAGATGTGATTTTTCAAGCCTAAATTTCATCCCACACAGGTTCGAATCCTGTCAACTCATTGTGATGAATGTTTCAGGATAAGTTGATGGCATAGAATGCTGAAATGTTGATCCATAGTGAATGGGAAACTTTGCAGCCAAGGCAAATTAATTATTCATCTTCATTTTAAAAACATGTTATGGCCACAAACACCTTGGTACACTACTCATGCCTATTTACCCATTTACATTTTTGATAGCTTTGCAGTAAGAATAGGGCAGGAAGCAAAATTCCAGCTAGGCCGAAGTGTAAGAAAGCAAGTGCAATTGTGTTCAGGATAAAATGAGTTAGTTTTGGCTACCAAAGCATTTGATTGTATAATCAATACTGATGTAAAATTATTATTGGCTGTTTTAATGTTAGTTCCATTTACATCATCAGTGTAAGAGTCATATGACATGGATTAGTCTTAAAATGGTAAAGTGCAAAAAAAGAAAGATTACCATTTTTAGAATAGAGAGGGAAAATAAGCATATTAACATTCAGCATTAAGGAGCTACTGCTGAGTTAAATTATTTGTCTTTTAAATATTTTGTATATATAAATTTTACATACAAGTCTAGAAAACCAGTTTTTACTCATGGTCAGTTATACCCAATAAAATATAATCCAAAATGCCATGATCTTGAATTAGAATTTGTTAACAAACTGTCAACCAGAAGTGATACTTTACTTAAAACTTGTTGCTAATTTAAACATCGAAATTGTGGAAGACCATGTGCTGGCCACATCAGATTTCTTATTTCAGCTTCATACCATAAAAATAAACACACATATGCATTATGCCATTTTTTTCATAATACAGTGAAAATTCTTGGAACAACCTTTGTTTGTTTTATGTTTACTTTTACTTCATTTTACATCATGCACTTATTAGATTTGCAAAGAAGAAAAGCAGAAGCAGCCTATTATTTTCAGGTATGTCGTTTGGCAAAAAATGACGAGTGTTTCAATTCTTGTATGATGAAATTGTACTTGACTGAAGATATTTGATTGAGTCAACAACAGCTGACAAAGCACTAGAATAAGAACTGGAAATTGGTTCAAGAATAGTTACTTGCTTTCTTGTTTAGCAGAGTTTAATACCAATGCAGAGATAAGCTACAGAAAATAATAATTTGATGCGATTTTGAATACAATTGTCAAACAATTTACATAAAAAACCAAAATACCCATTACTCATTCCACTGAAGTTGAAACCATATTTCATCATCAAAAGATGTCAATGCTGCTGAATGTACATTGGGGAGTAATGAATGATACATAAGTACAAAGAAATGCACTATCTAAATATGTAGTACATGAAGAGATTTTATCACACAAATTATATGAAACCTTTATATCTTATTTATTTTTATAGTATTTATCATGATTTAATCCTTTAAAAATATTAAACTTGAAAATTTTTCCCTTCCAATAACATGGCTTTCTTGCGATTATGAACGGCTTTAAAAACTTTTTGCAAGCATCTGACAAAAGGCATTTTCAAAATAGAAAGCAGACACATATCAGTAATTCACTTAAAGAGCAATCTTAAAGAATGCAGTGATTAGAATCTTAAAGAATGTAGTATTAAGAACACTGGCCTTTGAATGCCCTATGTATTTATATAAAGCTATTAAAATTGCTGAAAACAGTAAATAAAAACAAGAACAGATTGCAGTTAATTATTAAACTATATAATTTTATTTTTACAAATTGCAGATAACATCAACCTCTTACTCAACATTTGAAAAATAAGCAGAATATAAATAAAATCATAATTGCACACTAATTTTCTAACTGACTTCTACAACCACTTCACCAATGCCATTTTTCTGAAGAGTACACTGGCAAACGAGGAGAGAAAATTTTTTAGTTTCTGTGACCACAGAATAAATCATAATTTAATCTACTCAAGCCTAAGTTAAAAAATCAGTAAGCAACAGAAAACCTAATTTTCTCTAGCCCAGAATTAAAAAGGAATAAAAGACAAGGATTGTTTAATCCCATTGCTACAGCAACTATAATAGCATTAACTAGAAATCCACATTTAATGGCTCAAGTAATTCCTTTGTATTTTGCAGTTTTGAGAAAGTAGAAACCTCGGAAACTGATATAACCAATTCTGGTATAGCTTCTTCTAGCAAATTCCCAATCTCAACTCTGTGTATGGATTGCAACTAAATAACACTCATGCTTCTTGTACACAGCAACAGAAAAATGAATAAGATCATGCAAAATGGCCAAAATAAATAAATTAAAAAAAAAACTTAAGCTAGTCATAAATAACAAAATATGACCAATTAAGTAAGAAGGTAGAACTGCTCCAGTATTAGAACAGCACAAAAAGAATAAAACATCAATGCTTTGTCTCTGAACAGAGCACTTTGAATAACTACATATTTCACCTATAAAACTAAACCAATCAAAATGCATAAAAAAAATGAGAAAATTAGCATCTTGTGGAAAAGAGAGGGATTTGATACTGGTCTAGCAGCACAAAAACGTCCTCCATGAAAAAAAGATTCAAGAGGATCCCAAACTTCAAATTCACCTCTACTGCAAATGCAAAGAGCAGCACACAAATTGTTCATTAGAATTGGTAAACAAACCATTACAAATGCAGGTACATCAGGAAATTTAGTTTAAATTCCTGCCTTTAAATTCCCTAACAACTTGAATAGGCATAAGTGAAAACAACTGTGGATGAAATTTGCTCCTTGATTCCTTGCCACTTCTACATTCTAAATATTTTGCACCCATTAAGTTGCTTTTACCTCAGCATTGGAGTCAGAAGGATCCAGAATATTAGTCAAACAATATCATACAAACTATACAAAATAATCTAGTGTGGAATAATCATAAAAATCATTAATTTGAAGTGAAATGCAGCAGTGCTCTCAGTGTAAAAGTTATGAAGTTTCAAGACAGAATGATAGAGCTGGTACCACTGGGAACAAGAATGCCTTGATAGGGAAAGCCCCCTACTAATGAGTCACTCAATGCAATGTTGTTTCTCTGAAACTGAGGTTTTTCAGAAGTGGAATATAATTCTTACAAAGAACATTTTTTTACATTTCTTTCTTCTTGCAATTTAATTAAAGAACAAGCAACAGATAACAGAATGCATAGGTTTAGATACAATTAAAACTACACTATACTATGCTTAGATATGCTGAATATATGACTGTCAAGATTTTGCCATACTGAATAAAAACCAGCTTGCAAAAATGGAAGAAACTAATTTTTGGATTTATTTCATATTCATATTATAGCCATGTTTTGTTTATAGGTCGCACTATTACATTCATAATTTAAATACTTTTATTTTCTGTATAATTTAACTGCCTCATTTGTAGGTTTGCAATAACCTCTTTGATAACATACACACACACAGACAAGGTGATCCAAAAATCTGTTAATACTCTAAAATTCAACAATTCACAGAATAATTGTATATTGAGAGATAAAAACTAACATGCATGTTTGAAATGAAGTTTTATTGAAATCTTAGAAAAAATTATTACAAAAAATGGCCAGCAGATGCCACTTAATCTGAACATAGCATTCATCTGTAGGCAAAGATAATGTTCTTCATAACAAATGCTCAACATGTCAGCCGTCATTCATCAACGATACCTGTAGCCGAGGCACAACACTGTGAATAACACTGTTAAGCATATTCCACATATAATTATTTAAATTAAATCAATATTCAAAATAAAACAAAGAACACTTATCAATAACAAAAGACTAAAAGTCAATAGAAAAGAAGAAATTTTAAGTTATAAATTAAAGAATAATATATACAAGAGACTTGAGAAATATCATCAAATTCAAATTTGCAAACAAAGATTGTTGAAACTTTTTTTTAAGATCAATAATTTTACCCTTTGAAGCTTTATTTTGTCACTTAGTAAACAGTCATCTTGCTTTTCTATGTAACTGAAATTAATAAGAAACTACCATTACGCGATTAATCTCTAAATACAAGATTAATAACTATAAAACTGATATATTTTTACAATTGGCAACTGTTTATATATTCCAACATTTTATGATTTAACAATTTTTATGTATTCTAAATTATGAACAGTTGTGAAACAAGTCCCAAATATTATAACATCATCTCTTATCACTGTTGTTATTACATATGTTTTTCTTTACCTTTTCGTGCATTTTTTGTAAACAATTTTGTTTTATGATACTAATTTTTCAACAGATTCTAAATAAACAACTTTTTTCTGTCCTAGACAGGGCTCTGTTAATCCGCAATCTGGGGATACTCGAGAGTCTCTCTCTATGCATATGATATATTCAAATTTCCCCAAGTACGTATATATTTAGATAGATTCTAAAACTGAATTTTGGTTCATATCAACATTAAAAAAAAAAATCAAAATAGCTTAACTATTTAGAAAGAACAGAAAATTAAATTAAAAAAATTAATAAATTATAAAACTCAATTCACAGTGTGGCCAGCAAGTCCCTTTACACCTGAACTAAATGTGGGTAATATTTAATTTAAGACAGAACAAGATATTTAAGACTGCAAGATGTTTGCAAGATATTTAAGATTTGAACCTCCCATTCTGATCATTAATATGGCAATAGTACTTCTCACATGAATTGCAATGTGAATGCCTCAGGAGGAGAACAAAGTCTATGTATTGATCAATCCATCATCTCGCCTTTCTGTGCTTAGTGAAGAACAATGGCAGATACCAGTGACTTCACTTTAGAGGAACGTTTAGTAACAAGTGTGCGAGTTCATAAATGGACACACAACAGTGAAAATATGGCACAGGTGATGAATAGATTTTGTTAACAGCTTGGTAAGGAACCACCAAATTGTCAAATTTTGACTAAATTGTCTTTCTCGAAGTCTGGATCTTACGACATCAGAAAATGTACTGTAGGGGAAATCAGATCATACATCAGGAAGAAATGGTACGTGGACAATGATGCTGTGCTTAATGCCCTCCAGCATTGACATCACAGCTGCTACAGCAGATGAGTAGGACATTTAGACCTTTCAAGCTGTGCAGATATAATGGTGGTGCACATACAGATGTTTGTTACAAGTAACTGTAAATGTTATTAAAGTCACAATGAAATATTTGTATGCTGGAACTTTCTGACCAACCTATACATTATCTTAAAAACAGAGTAACAAGGGGATAAAAAAAAAAAAAAAGGGAGGGGGATAACCCATTTTCTAATTTTGAATGGATAAACTTAAAAGGAGAAAATTTGATGAAACTTTACATAATTCATATGGAATTTCAGATGTGATACATTCCTTTCTACCATACAAGATTTAATATCTTGCAAATGGAAAAAGGCTAAAGTAAGATTTTGCAAGTAGATTATTCTGAGCAGGGTTCACCAGATTCTATGATGGTAGAGAAGAAATGACTTTTTACTTATTTTGTATTATTATATTTGTATTTTATTTACATGTAATGCTTCTATATTACTAATCAATTTAAATATTTTAATTTTATGTACATTTAGCTTGACTGTATCTCTGCAATTACCTTCTTTGGTACGTACACTGCGAAAAAAAATGCAAAAGTTCTGTATCTTCCATTCTACTGGGCCGATTGACAAAATTCAAATTGCATTTTTAACGTCTCAAAAGGGCGAATTAAGATTTATATTAGATTTATATATAGCATTATTCCAACATCGGTATTTTGACACAATATGTGACTTTTTCTGAAATAACATACCAATTTTTTTTCCACATTAGAGTCTATGACTCAAATTATGCCAGCTGCCAAGTTTTATAAAAATCATACGAGTAGTTTTTAAAAAATTAGCTCTCAAAATGTTAGCTCCTCAGTGTTAATTGAATTTGGCATATATTCATTAATACAGTCAAAAGTCGTTAATTCGGACAGCCATAATCTGGACCTCAAAGCTACAAACTTTCTGCGCATGCGTTGCGTTGACCTTTACGGCTGCATAAGACCTTTACAGCTGCGAATATGCTTGTGCGCATGCGCAAAATACGTTTACGAGTGCGCATTTAATGTATAATGGATGGTATAAGCTAAGCTAAAATTATCTAATTATCTATTTCAGTTAATGCTGCAGATTGCGTTGTTCCTTAATCTTCGAATTGGATCCGGCTTATTATTTTTTGCAGACTGTTTGAGCAATTTTATGAAAGTAAGCTTGAACTTTCGATTATGTCAAATAGAATTTCTGATGTATATTTATTAATATGTAAAGGATCTACAAAGCGAAAGTATGTTTCAAAGTTCATTAAACAAAAAGTGAAATTGCTGAAAAAAATGGATAAAGGCATATCCTTTGTTTATCTAAACTTTAAAGTTTATCTAAACTTTGTTTATCTTTAACGCCGCGGCGTGCGCGCAATGAATTGGAAGTTGATCTGTCAGCACTATCCTTATCTTCAGGGCAGATGTTTTTATTTTATTTGGCTTATAATTCCTTACTAAATGTAGTATTTCATCTCGATGTATTCCGTCTTTGATATGATTTAAATCAAATTCCTCGTCATTATAATTCGCTTCCGATAGCGAAGAAAGTGACAGAGATTATTGAAAACGAAAAAATTTCGATTGACAAATTAATCGGTAGACACAGCAATTATAGGACTTGAACAGCGGAACTTTGTAACTGAACAAGAGATTATGTCTGTTTATAGAATTAAAGAGAATGTATTATCACATAAAAACGAAGCAACTTAAACAACTTACATTGAAAGAATGTTTAATAAAGTAAACAAATAAATATAAGCTTTTTATTTGTAAATTTTGATACCCTTTAGATCATAATTGTTCTTTATTTCATAAATTATGGTTTCATATTTTTAATTTTATAATTTCTGCATGCCATCTTACCAGATTTAAACTGATGATCTATAATCCGGAAAAATGGATCTATCTGCCTAACAGGAGGGATGCCTTTGTGAAGAACTTTTTAAGGGAAACCAGCTGGCATACACGTTACAATGAGAAAAACCACGAAAACGCCCATGCAACCAGCCCGTTTGCCGGGGTTTGAACCCTGGAGCGAACTACCAGTGTTCAGCGACTTTACCACTTGGCCGTTTGTGGGCCTTTATGAAATGGAAGCAGATGACTTTATTTAAAATGAATGTCAGAAATACTAAGATGTTTCGAAAAGTTCTATGCTTTTTAATAAACTTGCAGAATGCCTGAAGAAAAAGAGCAAGCCATTGAGAAGAAAAAATAAATGTTTGCATAAAATTTAGTATTTTTTTTTAATTTAAAACTTTTTAATCTTATAATATATGATTCTTGCGATTTCAAAAATAAAATATTTGACTAAAATATGAATAACATTTTAAGAAACTTAATGTAGGATGATAAAATTATGTAAAGTGATGAGCACAATGTTAAAGCTATTTAAAGCAATATATGCAAGTCATCCTAAGTTTTGATAAAAATAAACGATGCACCTGTTAAGCAGTTCGAATGGGTAAATAGAAATTTCTAAAACAGTTATTCGAAAGAAACTATGCAACTTAAAAAATTTAAATGAAATTCGAAAAAGAAAAAATTACTTAAAATAATAACATTATAATTAAAATATAATATAAAGAACATCATTTCTGTTCACAGGAAAGGAAAATAGGTTGCCATATATTAAGGCGCAAATTGAAAAAAAAAGCAGTAACATAATTTGTGAAGTTCTCTGTAAATTTTACAAAATTTCATATTTAGGCATAATTTCAGTCGTAGAATTGAAATATGGAAAAAAATTGGTATGTTATTTCAGAAGAAGTCTGAATTTGTGTCGAAATAATTATGTTAGAACAATGCTATATTAAATCTAATATATATCCTAAGTTTCACTGAGGCCCACCAGCGGCCGAGCGGTAACATCGCTGAACACTGGTAGTTCGGCCCGAGGTTCGAGTCCCGCGAACGGGCTGGCTGCATGGGCGTTTTCGTGGTTTTCCCCATGTGTAACGTGTATACGAGCCAGTTTCCCTTAAAAAGTCCTCCACGAAGGCATCCCTCCCTTAAGGCAGATAGCCCTCGAGTGCTTTGCCATAATCTAATACACACCACACCTAAGTTTCACTTTCGAGACATGAAGAACGCAATTTGGATTTCGTCAATCAGCCCAGTAGAATGGGTGATATACAACTGTTCCTTTTTGGGGGGGCGCACAGTGTACATATTTTTATGTACTTTTTACCAGGTGCTGCCCACCAGCGGCCGAGCGGTAAAGTCGCTGAACACTGGTAGTTTGGTCCGAGGTTCGAATCCCGCGAACGGGCTGGCTGCATGGGCGTTTTCGTGGTTTTCCCCATGTGTAACGTGTATACGAGCCAGTTTCCCTTAGAAAGTCCTCCACGAAGGCATCCCTCCTCTCAGGCAGATAGCCCTCGAGGCTTTGCCATACTCACACACCACACACACACCACACTTTTACCAGGTGCCACTTGCAGTCATTATTCACAACTTTTCAACTCAACAATTCAGACATTGCATAATAGTGCAAAATTTTATTTATGTTTTAGGATAAAAACAATATCATTCCACAAAGCCGTATTTAGCCCATAGGCTGTAGTTTGCCAACTCCTGACCTAGATGACTGATTCTTGATAGAAAAAGATAAAATAATAAATGAATAGACGGTTGATCTTTGGATTATGGTAACTTGGCGATTTTTTGGCGAAAATTTGGCGACCAACTCTTCTACAGCAACCCTCTATTTTTTTTTATCTTTTCTTTTTATCTACTGAACACTTTTTCCAACAATCTACTAGCCGAATTACACTTATGCTAGAAATTTTATCTAACAAAACTGCTTAATCATGACAAATATTCACTGCAAAATTGGGAAAAAGTGCACACTACCAAACTCCTTACAACGTTTTTTCAAAATAACACATCACATAAACCATGTACACGTTGACTTATTTTTTACTTAAAAAA